AAAGCTAGATTGTCTTTTTACGCCTGGGTAGAAAGTGATTGGGAGAAAGTCTATCAAAGGTATTATTAGGTAATAAAACTGCTTCATATTTTCAACTGAAAATAAAGAGTAACATTTTATAAATTCAGAAAGTTTTTGTTTGCGATGAAATAACATATGTAAGAATTAATATTCATTTCTCTTCTAGATACAATTTCGTACAAGAGCCTATAAACAATTTATATCGTGACCTTATATACATATATACAATTTTGAACGAATGGTGTTTTTGGCCTCTGGGGACATCAAAATGTAAAAGTAAATCGGTCCTGGGCCTAGGTTTTACCGTGCCACCTACGGTAATAGCTACTTCCCTATAGGGAAATTAGCTAAAAACGAAAATTATATTTATAATGACGATGTAAAAAAAAGATAACTTATTAAAACAACGAAAATGACTCTTCAAATGATACTGAGGTTTCGATCTCTTTCTAAAATAAAGTAAAAGAAAACAGTGTAAAATTTCGTTGGTTTTCATCCTGAATGCCAAGGAAATGAATTATTCAACGTTTGATGTTGTAGCTAAAAAAGCCAACTATTAAAAAAGTTCAAGGATGAACAAGACATTGTGTTTCCACTAGGGAAATCTTTTTCTTCAGGACTTCTTCAGAACTTGAAGTAACACCATTTGTCCTCGTGACCGACTGTTTAACTATTCACAACCGTCCAGTTGCTATCATGTTAAGTTTTTTTTGTGTTTTTTTATGTCCCACCTTTAACCTTTTACTTAACATCCTAGGAATCTAGGTTCTAGATTGGAACAGTTTTACCCATAATTTCATGCTAGTCCTAGAGGGTTGCAGCATTATTATATTGATGAAGTCCATTGGTGATTGGAGGGATTCGAGCCTTGACCTCGGGATCCAAAGCCCTGCGCTCTACCACTTGTTCAGCTCGCTCCCCATGAGTCTTGATGTTAAGTGAAAATACTTATAGTGAGTAGAAGACTAATAAATGCAAAAATAATATTTCCCCATGTACAACAACACCTTTGTACAGATTGAAAATCCTAGGAGGTTATATATTAAATGAGACATTTTCCCTTGTGTCACTAAAACAGAGTATAAAGGCATAATACACATTTTTATATTTTAGGATTTTTAATTAAACCTTTGTTAAAGCAAAAAAGGACCAATACTAGTGAGGGTTATACCACGAAGGCCCTTTATATTCATATTGCCAAAGGGAGATTCGTGCTTTTATTAAACTATTTTATTGAACAAGAACATTTTTACAGACGAATTGAAACTATTGGACAACGAAGCATAGAAATAGGAATTTGGTTAAAATTAATTTAGGTAAAATGATTTTTGATTATCATAAATCCATTATTTAGATTGTTGTAAAATATAAAATTAGTATGATTCCCAAATAGAATCCGGATATAAATAGAACCCATGTTGATGGCAGTTTACTGTACACTGCGTCAAATGTCCCATAAAATGAAAACTCATTTAAATTGGCGTTTAAAGCAATCTATAAATTACTTTAAAATACTACGAGCAAAAAAAATATTTTAAGCTATTAATTTCCCTCCCCTTTTTAAGGTATTTTCCTTGTAGAACTTTTATCTTAATTCCTGGATTAAAGCTGTGAAACAGATTAATTCAGAGCTTATCTCTAAGATAAAATTGCAATTAACAAAGTGTGTTTACTTCTTATCGAATTAATAAATAAATTAACAAATGGTAGTTATAGAGCTTGCCCGAAAATGTGATGGTTGCTTGTCCAATACCAAGCGAGATAGTTTTTGGAGCTAAATGTCATTTGTCAATAAAACTATACACAAGTCAGCGTTAGATGTTTCAAGTCCAGAGTTTGGACCATTCTCTTGCAAAAACGCAAAGACCTGCTAATGGGGACGAAAAAATTACAAAAAACATCTTAACCACACATTTTTTCATTTAAAAAACTAGCCTAAATGCACTTTGCCCTTAGACTATGTTTTTTAGAAGAAAATGTTAGTTAACTTTACTATTACATTAATGACTTTTGGCTTTTGGTGCTGCAGATATACTTCTCATGTAATCGTAAAATGTGTAGCCTGTTTTGATGTGAAGTTTAAGGTCACGTATGTGTAACAGTTTAAGTTTTACTTAAATTTAGAATAAAGTGATTTATTCACTCCTAGAAACTCTAGAGGACTAACTGAAGTTTACTAATAAGTTAACTATGAATCATTATGTTTGATCTATTAGTTTAGATTAGTAAAATTAAAGGAAGAAACAACTTTAACTGAATACTGCACTCAAGCACATCAACATACCCTAAAAATAGTATAAAACGATATTACTCTATTTATAAATTTGTTCCTGAATTCCTGCAAATATTTGCATAGTCAATTACTTAGATGCAATTAGGTAAAATTTTACTGTAATTCTTTTATGCATGCCCTTAATAAACTAAAAAGGAAAACTGTTAATTTCAGGTTTTGTTTTTACTTTATTATAACTGTTTCATTTGAATTTAAAAAGGAAATAATGGATTTAATAAAAACTATCAATCCTTGAACTATTGTCAAAAATTATTTCTATTAGATTGAAATAAAAAGGCGTATTTTAGTATTGATTAATTGAGCCGACAAAAGCATTTATATTAAACCGTTAACTAAGCGTGCACTATTTAAAAGAATTCTCACTAAGATTTAACTACTAAATCAATATATTATTTTTGTACTAGCCATGACTTTTACAGATATTTAACGTTTTATTTAGATGAAAATACCTCTATGAATTTCACCATTCGCAAAGAAACAGTAGTAGTTTTAGAAATACTGTACATACATAAATTCTACCATGAGGTAGGAATTTCCTAGCGCTGTAAGCCAACCAAATCCAGGCTTCCGAACAGATGTAAAGTTCCAGATTTATACGTTTGTGTTTTGTATTACAGTCTAAGATTTTTGGATACCTGTTAGTCTATGAATCTGCAATATAACCGACTGGTCAAGTTGTAGGTTACATGCATGCATGTGAATCTCGTTAACTTTAGCCAAGTTAACTTTCGAAACCTTGCGGGTAGTTTTCAATCTTACAAATCATGTGCTGCGGTTAGTTTTTGTTTGATTAAATAATAAGAGGCCTATAGCGATAGTTTTACATACAACATATGTAAACCTTAAATGCACTTAAATATCAATCTAACCATCTAATGACCTCATTAAACTTGATAAGATAATATTAGTTTCAAATATATATTGTAAATCCAATACATACATCCGTTATGTAGTAATTAATTAATTAGCTGAGTTTATTATATTTTAGACTTGTTGATTTATTCATTTTATTGTAATTGTATTCTTGCATGTACAGGCCTTTGGCTGATGAAGTTGAATAAATTAATAACAGGCCATGTTTGATATAATAGCAACCTGCCACAGATAATTAATACTGTAGTTTTCCATTGGAATATGTTACTTTCCAGTTCCGATTCTTGTAAATTAAATTATATAAATTCTATAACCACTCAGGTTAAATAAGCTTTTTGGAGTGATAAATAATTAATTATAATTATAAGAAGATTTTTATGCTGAGGCAAAAAGTTTTTACTTCGTACTTTTTAAATACAAGCAAAGCGTGCTTTTTTATGTCAAACGTCTGATTATTCATATTTCAGGCAATTACGTGATTTAATAATGAGTAGTGTACTGAAATAAATGAATCCATAAGTACTGTTAAAAAAACGATAAATACACAATAATTGTTTTTTACGATTGTCTTTTCTTACAAGTTTATTATTTTATTAAGGAATTATAAAAATTTTTTTTATTGGAGGGATTAAAAGTTGCACAATTACTGTGGCCTTTGCATTTAATTGCATATTTGCACTGCTTACTCTAAATATAAAGATTACTAATCCAATCATGAAATAACTACTTTGAAGTTGCCGTGTTTTGAACAAATATACATATTACATTGACTCATGAAGAAAATTAAATTTCAAAGTTCGTAATCCAGGGAGTAGGCTACTCTGCTTTGACTAATGTAGCTGAACCGTTACCTAAATGTATAAAATATCGATATCGTTAACTTGACGATACTAAATTAAAAGGATATTTTATCATCCTATAAACCATAAAATGGTGAAAGTACAGATAATTTTAAAACAGGAACATATTTTATTTTAGCAGTTTAGAAAACATGCTTTGTCATGTTGATTACAGATGTATTTTTCCCATGGAATTATGTCACACATGAGAATTATTTTAAAACTTACTATTGATTAGCCAAATTTCATCAGAAAACCTTCTACCACTTTGCTGATTACGATATGTTATATACGCATATATGTTATATACGTAGAATGTGCACAACTGGTTTCTTACATTGAGTTGGACTTTACAAAAGGTTATAAAAGTCAAAGAACAAACACTAGTTTCCAAACCAATGTTTTACTTGAGAATGAGTTCAACAGTTTTGAGGCAACAGATACTAATTTTAGATTATTGAAGTAATAAACTGGTCGACTTAAATGTTAAAAGATAGTTGCACCTTGCGAAATCAATAGAAGAATTATTGGATGAAAACCAAACACTGTTTTGAAACAGTCATATGGTCGTTAACACATATATGATAATTATAGGTGGTCTCAAATTTGGGGATTTTATGATTTATTACTACTACATCCCAAAAAATCATATATCATAGGTACTAATATATTATTTCTCTAGAGAAACACATTGGGAGCGTGAGATATAAAAAAAGAAGTCACTAGTTGACCTAAGACAGACCATAGACAAAAATAATTAATTATAGACAGTCAGCTGTGCTGTGGTTACCATAGGTTCTGGGGCACACCCCTGGGAGTGCCGTGTAGTTAAGTAGCGTGTGCGCCGTAACTACATGGCACTCCCAGCGGTGTGTGCCAGAACCTATGGGAACCACAGCACAGCTGACGGTCTATATTTAATTCTTTTTGTCAATTTTCAGACTTAGTCATTACTTAGAAAATTCTCTGGGAGATCAAAACTATATACATTGAAATCCGTCAAAATCCCGCCACGGCACCCAGTCTTCGCCAGTCGCAGTTGGCTGTGATGTTGGACTGTAATCTAGCCACCCCGGTCACCACTCCAAGGCTGTATTGTGTCTTGGACCTCCGCTTGGTCTTGTGGCCGATGTGTTGCCATCCTCCCACCATGTCCTGGAACGTATAGACATATTTTATATGTTTTAGATCTTTACAAAATCTAATATATGAGAACCTTTACCTGCCTTTGGGGATCTAAACTAGGAGGTATTGGATACTGAAAAATATACAAAATCAATTTTGCATTTGATCTTTATACAGGATGAAAATATGAAAATAATAATGGTGGAGTAACCATGATATGTTACTAAATCTCTTATACGAGAAAGCCTACAAATTTGGAAAATACCTTCAAACTCTAATTTAGAAAAACCTTAAAGTACCTCCATATGGACCAAGCTCGAGGTCTGCTAGAGCTCCCTGGTGGGACCCTGCGTAACAAACCGACCCCATGTTAAATATAGTAACCTACTTAAAGCTGATCTTTATAGACCAGTAGAACAGGTTATTGAAACAACGTAACTACTCGTACATCACAGCAGAACTATTTCTCGCTAAATATTTCCCACGACTATTACAATCAATAAGTAGGCCTATGCTTGCAGATATCTATGACTTTTACCCTTACATGTCACTATAGCAGTCACTATAAATATTAAAACGCATTGGTGTATTACATAATATTGTTTTAACTGAGCAAAAATTAAAACGGACTTAGAAACGTACACTTTGCGATAAGAAAACATATTATGCAAGAAATTGAAAGAAACATAAAAATTACAACGTTTTGCGTAAAACATAACTCACCTTAACAACTCCATACTCATAAGACACTTCCATAGGAAGCAGTTGATGATGAAACCTTGCTCCGTCTATTGCCTCTTTGATATTCTTCCCAAGCCACAAATTCTTTGCTGCCACCTGAAATAAGTGAATAATCAACACAACCAGCTAAGATAACGTTTTTGTCGTAACTGTAAATTCCCAGGAGTTCAGCTTTTATTCCGTGTAAAATGTTCAATGTAAATAATGGAACTGCATTTTTAAAGTGTTACCACCATTAGCTAAGCTTACTTGCATAATGTACTTACATAATTGATCCCACTGGTAGATTTTCAGACGTGGTCTTATTCTGCATACAATTACTCTATAGAATTTGGTTTATCCTTGTCAATGAGACATCCTGAGCTTCCTTTTGAATTTAGTTTGGCTCTTACAGTTTATAATTTATTGTGAAATCGTTTAAAGACTAAGACTGCGGACTTCATTTTTCAAGGACACTTCTGCGATGGTTGAGGTGATAGCTTCGTCCATCCAGTGTTGCAGAACAGAAGTGTTATTAAAATCTCCATTATACTCGTGGGGGCAAACTGGTCTACTGAGCAAGAGGCTTTAGTCCTCAAGGTTTTGGGCTTAAACTACTCCAATACAATGGTTTTAGGCATGTGACCACGTGATCCTCTAACGCTAGCCTGAAGTAATTGTAAATCAGTTCTGGGCGGGAGCCTAGTGTCCTAGAATTCGAACGAAATGTTCAGGGTTTAACAACCAGACATATATTTACGAACCGCAGTTGTCTGTGTAGTGATGGTGGTTCCTCCTGCGCCACCGATGGCTAGCCTGACGTCACCAGAAGAGTCCACGATAATCGTGGGACTCATGGAGGATTGAGGTCTCTTCCCTGGCTCGATGTAGTTGGCTTCACTTGGGGACACGCCCCAGTAGTTCGGCTCCCCTGGGGTAGAGAAGTCATCCATCTGGTCGTTCAGGAGTATACCGGTGCTTATTGACACGAATTGACTCCCAAATCTGCAATAAAACCATTAAGTTGTTACGCCAAGACTTTTATGAAATAGGTATGACGTAAAGTTGTTTTGCAAGAGGCTAAAGAGATGTTAGAGCAAATTCAGTGAGCATGCAAATTAAAATGAAAATAGTTCTTTACTGAGGAGAGCTTAGGACCTCGTGGTATTTTCTTACAAGTCACCTCTAAGCAAAGAGTTACTTGCAACAACTCTTATGAGTGGTTCGTTCTACAACACTGTGCGAAAAAATAGCATTTACCTCAACAATTGTTAGTATTTTTAGAAAAGAGAAGTGCAATGCTGTTACAAAATACATGTTCAAAATAACAATGACATAAATAAAATAAAACACTTATGTGGTGTTTACAATGAGTTGGTTCTCTGGTTAATCATCGTGAATTTTATCACATCGTCTGATATCAGAATCCCAGTTGAGCCCAAGCTATATATAGGAATCAATGATCATCCATGCCCGTCTGATTTTGTAGCTCTTGTTCCATCGATGTTTGATACTTAAAAGTAAATATTGAAAACAAATAGGCCTATTTAGATATTCAAACAATATTTTAAAAGGATGTATTTTGAATGTAAAACTATAACACTGATCGTACGGTGTGTTGATGGTGCTGGTGGCACAAACAGCGCTGCCGTCTGGGGCCAGGACGACAATGTTGTTGGTTCCGTGGTCCTCATGCTCGTAGTCCCCTCCGTACCATCGCGGGTCCTGAGAGGTTGTGTTGTAGAAGATCTTGCCTCTTAGACCAAGGATAGTCTCCTCGTCAGTCAGATTGAATATCACCTTTGGAACCATAAGAATATGAATTTAGGTTCCACTGAACCAAGGAAGGGATTTGGTCTAAAATGGTAATACTTTTGTAATACATATTCTGTATAGTATTTCCATATCAATAAAAGCTTATACCGACAATAAATAGATAATACGCATAATGTGTTTGTTATTTAAACTGACATTCATAAACAATACTTCATTGAAGTTACACATAAAATTACGACAACAAATTTAAAACATAAAAAAATACTATACCTATCTTCAAAAATAATATCATTGTGTAGAAACACAATTTTAACAGAAAAGTATATTATAAGGGACTTTGATTCAATAGTCTGTGGTTCTGTTCAAAGCTGTTTAACTCTATACAATAATGAGCAAAATTACACGTTATTTTTACAAAACGATGGTGTTGAAACGGGTACTCCATCTCCATGTGTAAAACCCCTAAACTAATAGAACAAAACACCTGTTGAATTTTGACTTACAATATTTAATAATCCTATGTATTTTACTTGAAAAATATTTCGTAGAAAATACTCTCAACCAACACTACACTAACACAACATACTCTTTCCAAAAGAGATGCGTTCACGAAATGTGGATCGCCGAGGTCTGTGCGACGTCCGTAGGCGTGCTTGAATGTCTCAATCATGACTTGGGATCTGCGCAGGTCGGAGTCGGCGAGCTGCAGGAAGCCATCGAGCAGCCTCAACATGAAGGCCACCAAGATACCCGAGCCTGGGAGAGGTGCAGAGAACAGTGTGAGGTCTCCGGATAGAGACGCAGTCACTGGCTCTTCCCAGCGTACTCTGGAAACACCCGATGTTTGGTTTTATCCATAAAATAGAACAATGGACAAAAAGAACCGTCAGCTGTGCTGCGGTTACCATAGGTTCTGTCACACACCGCTGGAAGTGCCATGTGGTTACGGCGCCACGTAACTACATGGGGCTCCCATCGTTGTGCGCCAGATCCTATGGTAACCATGGTAACCAATATACAGCTGACAGTCTATATTTAATTCTTTTTGTCTATAATAGAAAATAAGCAGTATCATGCAATAAAACTTTGTAACAAACTATAATAGCCTCGTTGCTGCTCTTCTTAATTATCTCTAGACGCGGGAACAAGGATTATACTAAAAGGTTTCTAACCTAAGAAATGTATTTAGCCCAGAACTTAGGCGATATTAAAAAACATAACAGTGAAACCGAACAAAATATCATCAAATTTCATTGTAACTATTTAACGAAAAAAATAAACATTTTTAACATTACCTAACCTGAATTTGAGAATCGGACTTCTAAACAAGAGAACCGGGTTTTATACCCCTCCACCTTAAAAACAAACTTTGAGGGTAGAGTCTGCTTACATTTTTAATTATTAGATGTTATAGTAACATAGTACTGTAGGACGTATAAACCTTTTGGAAGTTAAAACTGTCCAAAATAATTAGGCTAAAGTAAGATTAAAGTTCTTACTGGTAGTTGTTCATGTCTTCTTCCGTGATGATGCCACCTCCCGCTTGTATATCTTGCACAAACATCTTGGTAAGACTTCCATTGTAAAGCTCATCAGCCTTGTTGTCACTTTCTGCTATAACTCTCAACGTCTTCGCCAACTGGGGCAACTTGATTAGATCTCCCTCTTTCGGTAACTTTCCTTCAGTACTATTCAGCAACATGGCTCTGAGGGTTTGAACAGAAAACTATGAAGAGTATAGAAGGAAGACTGACAGTCATTATGTATCTAGCCTGAATTAATGTGATATAATAAAAGTAAGTTACAGTTGACTATGTGAAAAAGTCGAAAATGTCTTAAAGAAGCACCTAACGTAACCAACCATACTCACACTGCTGTAGGACTTGCTCGGATTAGCTTTTCTTCCAGTTGAAACTGATATTCTAATCTTTTGTTGACAGGGACCCCTTCTTCGCAAAGCTTTATTGTTGGTTGAAATAGATCTCTCCAAGGTAATCTCCCGAACCTCTTGTGAGCCTCTTGGTAACCCTTCAACTCTCCCGGGACTCCAGCCGCTAGGGGACCTGAGGAGAACAAAGGTTTTACAAACTTTAAGTAAAGGAATAATCTTTAATGAATTTTACGTACATTCAACTGATATACCTTGTGTAATATGTGTTTGCAGCTGTTGAGTTTGGTATTTTATGGGGCCATAACCTACTTTCAAGCTTGCTGTTGTAACATGGTTTACTTACGTTTTTAATTTTTTTTTATTTAAATGAGAGATTTGTTACATACACATACACATTTTTTATAGTATGCTTATCAACATTGACTTAAACTTTTGTCATTTAAAACTATATGCATTAATTCCAGTAGACTTTTTTACGTTTTTAGTAAGCGTCTCAATAATATCAGTCATTCAGTATGAAAATTACTATCTGTAAGGTAAGCACTTTTAAATATTACTTAATTCTCTTCTTTCAATACCATAGTCAGCAATACCAAAGCACCTGTTTCTTGTTACATTCTCAGATACCAATAAACAATTACCGAACGTAGAAAGCGTAGCATTCTTCACGAACATATCCCTGGTGGCTGCAGCCGGTGCTGTTTCTCTGGCCATAAGTGAGTATGTCTTCCCTTCAGTCTTGTTGTATATGGTCATGATGTGACCCCCTCCCACCCCCATGGCTTGCATGACGCAGACTCCGTCACACAGGAGTGTTGCTATGGCTGCGTCCACTGCACTTCCACCCATTTCTAGCATTTGCCTGGGCAAACATTACTCAAAGTGGAATAGGTATGAGCAGTCGTAATTGTTAGGGTCTAAATGTATTAGTTATAACTACATAGTATGATTAATGTTTGCACATAGCTAATAAGTAGTGATTAATAGAAGATGTAAAATATCATGATAAGGCAATAGATATGTCCAACATGTTGGTTACTATGACTGTGATAAATTTCAATCGGATCCCTTCCCCATTCAGGAGGAGCGTGTGTTTAAAACAAAAGCAGGAGTGTAGTATAAGAGCTCCACTTACTCCGCTCAATTAACTAAATGCTATAGTAAACTTTAAAAATGTCCTTTTAACTACCTACTTTCCAATGGCAGGGCATAGATCACTTGTGCTGACCACGGCTGCCTGCGAGTAGATTCCCATAGGGCTGTTAGAGGGCGGCGGGGGGTAAGTGACATCAGGGGGGTCTGGTTGTGAACTACCATCTCCTGAGGTTGTGGTGGGGGAGAGGTACCACCACATAACTACCACGTCAACTACCACCAGAGCTACCACGAAGACAACCATCTTGGTGGTGTTACTGTTAAAAAGTGGTTAAACTTAAAAATACAGCTGTTTATCATATAATGTAAGCTGGTACTAAACTTAAGAATAATAAAAAAATATTTAATTGTGATTTTGTGATTAAAATGCTAATATGCAAAACTACATTTACATATTTTTCCATTGTCAATATATTGTAAATGTGTACATATAAATGAGCATAGCTTGTTCTTTATTTTTCAACCATATACAAATTAACCTAAGTAATATCATTCAACATTTAAAAATGTTTTTATTTGTGTTCATTTTGTCTTTATAAAATAAAAACTGTAAAATATTTATACGAATAAGAATCACTGAAGTTATTATTTTGTATTATGATCCTACTTATTTCATTCTACTTCTCCACAGCAAAAATTAAGGTAGCTTATATAGACTACTAGTATTTGTTAAGGTGCAGAATATTGTGATTTTTATTGTAATCTCTAGTACGATTAAAACATGTATTGATGAATATCACCTATAACCTACTTTATTGTAGATGTTAGCCTCCGGAATGCCAAATAATATTAAAACGGTTCAATTATCTGCTATTAGGCAATCTAATGTTGTTGCAAACACAACTAGTTGCAGCACCTGTATGGCACCATCATCAGGATGTACAAGGATTGTTTTCTTTCTTCATACGAAGAGCGTCATATTGTTTAGCATGAAAATAATATATAAACATTTAAACACGACACAAACACGAATACGAAGCATATACTGAAACTGATCAAACAATAAATTAAGTTAAGTTGAGAAACATTTATGGCAACTGACCAGCTATAGTTCGGCCGCTTAGAAAACGACCTCCGCGCCAATGCAAAACCAATGCTGGAGCAGGTCGCTTTCTAAGCGGCCGAACTATACCATAAATGTTTCGCATTCGTGTTTGCTTCGTGTTTAACTGTTTATCATTTTCTTGTTAAACAATATGATGCTTTTCGTATGTAGAAAGACTTCGTCCTCGTACAGCTCACACAGATCTGTACCCACATACGAGCCGAAACTAGTTGTGTTTGCAGCATCATTGGATTGAATAATATCAGTTATTAATATAGACCCTTTTTTAACTCCGAAACTTCTTTCCAAATACGAACACTCAGATTAATACAATGATTTATCTGTAGATACTAATCTCTTGTATATAGCTCAACACTCAATATGCATTAATTATTTGGGGAAATTTAGGTAACTGGAAATGTAAGTAGTAAATTATTTTCAAATATTTTCACAATGACTCACCAAGTAGTGTTGATCATTTCACGTGTTCAATGGACCCTGAAAAGTACAAAATAATGGCTATGTAGACAATTAAATTTTGATACATGAAAATGGATAATCTGAATAATTATTTAATATATGTTTAGGTGTGGTTATAAAAAAACTTATACTTAAAATGTAAACTACCAAACATAAAAACACATTTCTGTGTGGATTTCATGAAAAAGGTTCAACTTTGTAAGCCAGTTATCCATCCAGATTAAAATACCTAAGTCCCACTAAAGGCATTTTGAATATTGTTATAAAACTATATACAATATAATCTGTGTATAAGTTAAGACTTACCAGATCATAAGAAGTGAAATCAATAGAAATTTGAATACCCAATAATGGTAGTAGTATGGCTTAATCTTACAGTCCGGATTACCTATCTGTAAGGTTATTCGTTTATTGCCCAGTTTAAGACAAATATGAAGTAGGCAAGTCATGTGTTCCTCAGCTAAATTTATAGGTCACTTGAATGATAAGCCGTGTTTAAGAATGATAATATAAGGAATAATTATAAAATAAAGTACATTACTCTCTATGTAAAATGGGTAGCTGAAAGGTAAACTTTTTTCACTGAGATATTTGAAATCTGTTTGCCTTCTTTATATGAGGGGCTACAATAATGATGGTTGGTTTAGAAATTTTGCCCTCAGGGATAGTGGGGTAGGGGTTAGCTCAAATTTCACAAATAAGAAGTATAGTTGAGTTTGGTATCATTTCACAGGTCTTGACAACAACAGGTCATTAACAAAATTTAGATAAAGATAAAAATCGGCTTTTCAAAACAAATGGTGCCCTAAAACGGACAGAGATTACTGATAACAGAAATTATGGGGATTTCAAGGCACTTTTACTAACCACGCAGGTGTTATAAGTATTGATATGAACTAAAAATATGTTGCCTTGATAACAATTGAAAGTTAGTAAAATAGGCTAGTAATAATTATTTGTTTACGACTTGATATCATTGGATTCCTTTTACGCATCCAATTCTCTTAAAACTGGGTGGTTAGAGTAATGTTTAGTTGCCATTTTGTTATTAGTGATTTGATTTATAATTTCTTCATATTAATTCCTTGATTTCATCTAGACCTGTAAAATGGCACCAAATTCCACTACTTCCATATTTTGAAATTTTTTGTAATCTATCACCATCACCCTTAGAATCTAAGGGAAATTTTTCAAAATTAGCCATCATTATTGTAGCATTTCATATCTAAGAGTTTTGCGGCAAACCAATTTCAAATATCCCAAACGGCTAAAAATTTAAGGGTGGTGTTTGAGGGAGGGGGTTGCAAGTTACTTTTCAGCTACCCTGAATAATATATTTAAACATTAACGCTAGGACAGGAAGTTATTGCGTATCAAGGATTTAAAAAGTCACGGTTTTCAATAAGTAAGGTTTTTCCGTTGTGTTTTTTACATTTGTTGGAGTCACTTCAAGTATTTGATTTTAACTAATACTAATCTAGTGAAGTTGTAATAGTTTAAAGCACAGACAATATAATACTTTAATTATTACTTTACTTTACCATTTACTTTAATGGTTTATTCCATTGTCTGTGGTTTAAAGCCTAAATAATATTCTTTGAAATATAAATTGAATAAAACTTAATGTGTTTGACTTATCATGAATAATGCTTTAAAAACTCTATGTTCCCTTTACAAAAATATAAAGAGGGGAAATCAAACTTCAGTAGTAACATACTCTATGAGAGGTTCCTTAACCATTTACTTTAAGTAAACTGGCCACAGCTTGCGCATACAGATGTGATGTCATCATCAGTATACGAAGTACCTCAGTTAACGTTAAAACTGCAAATTGTGTTTCCATGATAGCTGAATATTGCTGACGGTCACTAAGATCCATTTTATACGTTTTTAAAACTACGTTTTACGAGCAAAAATGTCACTTACATTAGCTAAGTGACATTTTTGCTCCTTGAAGTTACTCTTGAGACGGAAGTTTTAATGGGTTCATTATAATGAGGACTAATCAAAACTTTTCCCGGAGTCGTAATAAATTCCACCCAAGTGCGAGGAAGTTAACGTGTTTTGTAAAACTTTAAAATAATTGACTTTACATTACAGTATACTATTTTCTTGGATTTAGGGCATCATACCGATAATTTTAAACGCAAAAAATAAACTTGTATAAAAATATTGTAGTCTTGCCGTATTGTAGTTAACCATTTCACAGAACTAACATAGTGATTTGTCGTTTCTGTTTTGTCTCTCATCAGAACGAAGAACTATTGATATGCTGTATTTGCACAGTATTTTTATATTGTACTTGTATTTTAATTTCTTTGCCAGCCTTTTGTAGAGCTGAAAAAACACAAATTATTTAGTATTTTAAAGGATCATTATGCACCCAATGATTACGGAGAAAAATAAAAAAATTGTAAATTGAAAATTCCTATAATATTATTATGGAGAATCAATTTAACTGTTAGATTTTTTATGAACTCATTTTGATCAAATTTGAAAAATGCATTTATTTCATACTAAAATACATACGTACAGTATTAACATTTCGCAAAAAAAAAAAAAAAACTACATAAAAACACTTTTAAACTCTCCCTTGTTGCAGCAAACCTAAGTACTTGATAAAATAATGATATTTAAATAGGGAACAGTTTTGTGAGATTTTTAAGGAGATATTTTAGTGTAAATCCAATCAGGTAAATGGAAATTCGCTTAGTCTGCAGGTTCACTGCGGTGGGGGTATTTATACAATTGAAGTGTGGATTTATATATTATGGTTTGAAAATATTTTTCATTGTGAAATTTGCCAAATTGAGAAACAAACACCTTTTCAGATTTTCAGAGCGTTACAAACCGTAACACTCAATACGTCTTCTCGAAGAGTTACTACATCTACCTTCTCTCAAGAAATATATATGCGTCAGGACACTTTTATTTTTCATAACATTTACACTAGAGACTTCAATATTGAAATAAAATCCGAAAAACTGCTTCAAACGCTTTCCACACTTGAATTAATAGATGACAAGACAATCTTACTTTGAGTGGTGAGTATTTAGATTCATTAAATGCACCTTCAGTTGGAGTATTCACAATTCTACATAGTGTTAAATAACGGTGTTACCAACCTATTTTCTATCCCTTAGATTTCCCTCGAGTGCTGTTTGGCAAATGCATCGCAGCATCGCGCCAAACATATGAGATTGAATTGGTTGTTTATCTTCCCGGATCAGGTGGATCAGGTGATAAAGCACAAATCAGTCTTATCTTCATTCTAATTTCACTGAATGATTTTAAAATTTAAATTTAACAATACATAATTGCTATTAGTTTCCCTGTGAAGACAGCGAAGGCTGTCACTTTTTTTAAATGTAGCATTTTGTATGTTTAATTATTGAGTTTTAACAAAGTTAATGATTAAATTGTCTTCTGATACTTAACCTAGCACAATTAATTTTTAATGACAATCTGCGAAGGTATTTAATGTTCTAATTTGAGTACAAAGATTGCTTTCCACCAAATTTGCTGGAACGAGTTTTAAATGCAGCTTCCATCCAATAATCACAATAATGGATGAACGTTAAAAAGACAAAAGGGCCGTTTTATGTTTTAACAATTCTCTCTTTCCAATTCATTGGCACAATAGATTTCGCAGGATTTTCCTAAAAGATTATTCAATGATTAGTTACTAAATTAACCAAACATAACAAGGAATAATTTTGAGCAGTAAAAAAACATTTAAAATTACTGTTGGTCTTTTCAATAGTTAACACTAATTTTAATAATAGTTAAATTATACTACTTAGCTAATTAGAAGGCTTCGCCATTTGGCTAGATAGCCGTTACTGTATAATTGATTTAATTTTCAACTCAATCAATCGTTGCTTTAACGAATTATTGTTAATTTTATTTTACACATTTCAACATTGTATACATAAACGCTATGCTAGTAAGGCTTGTGCCTTATGTAAATACTCGTACATAAAAACAAAATAAAGTAAAGAAAGAGACACCTGATCATTTGACGATTTGTAAATTATAAACACAATACATCACAATATGAAGTACAGTAAGTAGCAGATTCATATAAGTGATAAAACCCTACATAGCCCAAATAGTCTTGTTTATTCGCATACAGATCAATCCAATCTAATCAATAGGTATCATCATGATTATTTCTGATCAATGAAATGTGTTTATTGTATGGACAATTGTATCTATTAAGAGAAGTGTGCTTGAAAAAAATCTATGTTTGAGAAATATTTACGTGGGTTGATTGGTGTTTAAATGATTGTATTGTTTGTAGTAACATGTACACAGTAAGCTGTTAGGATCAATATACACAAGCACAGCTGGTCACCATGTTTGTGCTGTTACTTTCAAATATTGCTTCATCTGGTCACAACATAACTCTTAAAAGCTAGTTTAAAAATATTATGCTTTCAAAAATATTAAGTTAATGTCACTTTAACATTTTCAACTTATTGAATAACATAAAAGTAAATCCCTAGAATGTGTTGTTAAATCATTCTTCGTAAACATGTCTGGTTATGAAAGAAAATGACATGAATTAATGACATTAGTATAGTTTAAGTAAGGACTGGAATGCCAATCGCCACATTCAAACATCTAATAAAACACGATAAAGAAATGTTATTATAAGGTCATTACGCTTAAAATGATCATTTAAAGGTATCCTACCTAATGTAAAGGATAAACTGACTGAATAATGGATGTATCGAACCAAAGCCAATGCGATTGGAAAATTGCCAAAAAGGATTTGTAACTATCTCCAGCCCCAAGTCCATTTACCGCACCATAATCTGTTGTTCTCTGAGGTGTGTTATCTATTCAATTGTTTAATGTTTAACTAGTCTTGAAGCATGATTTTTAATAACAATTGATTTTCACTTTAACTAAAAATGTCTCATGAAGTGTCTGGATGTGAACTGTAGGAAAGTTTAGAATGTAGAGCAAACGAATTTAAAATAAATATTTTAAAAGTAGTAAATTCCTTGATAAAAA